TTTTTTTTTGTGGTTTATGTTGAAGAAGAATATGATGATTGGGATGATAAAAGATTAATTGATCAACAAAGACATTGGTATAAATTAAAAGATGCTTTTTCATTATTAAGAATTTATAAACCATCTCAATTAACTTTTTTTGAAAAATTTCTCTCAACATCACCTAATCGTATTAATTTACTTCATCAAATATCTTCATAATTTTCATTTGTATTATACTTTTGTGTTTTTTTTCTTGTTTATTTAAACAAAAAACAAAAACAGAATAGCTTATTCGGACTTTTTTTTGTTTTTCTATTGAAGATGTTAAATGTAGTTTCAATGTTTGGTTTGAGAATTCGTCCTCATCGTTCATTATTAATATTAATTGTTATAATTTGTCTGCTGTTAATTTTTATTTTCTATTCTAAGAAAAAAAAGTTCTTCAATTGAAAAAATCGAAATTAATAATGATGAAAATATCAATTTAGTTGATTTATTTAATCATGCTTTTAAATTAACTTTATCAAGCTGGACAAGCAATTAAAGTAATTAAAAATATTTAAAAAAATCATTTGAAAATTTAAACTTCATACATCCTTGAATTTTCATCAAAATGGAGGAAGGACAACTTATACAGTATCACATACCCTGGATATGTTATTGAAAAGAAAGACGAAGAATTTTCTAGACAAATTGCATTTTCTTTTCGTTTCTTCATTTTCTTTTCATTTGTTCATTTTAGCTTGTCGAGTATTACATCGTGCATTATGTCTGATACAGATACAGCATCAAATGCTAAACAAAACGTAAGAATAATGAATAAAAAAACCTAATCAACTAAAGATTTTTTTTTTAAGGTGCAACAGACCGTTGCAAAAATACAAGACAATCTTAGTGGAATTCTTTCTATATCAGATGTGGGTACAAATGGCTGTTAATAAAATTCAGTATGAAAATTCTGAAAGACGTGAAGAAATTGTAGAAACCATTCAAACTAGTGGTCGACAATTTGAACAATTGGCCATCGAAGTTGAATGTGCTGGACAATTGTTCAAGGAGCTCAATTTGGAATTCAGTAATTAACATATTATTTATTTTTATTATAAATTTCCTCTTATTTTAAGATCGATCCATTGGCATCAATTTATATACAAAAAAAGTATTTCAAGTAAATGGAATAACAAGTCAATCATCTGGTAAAATTATTGAACGTAATGTTGGAAAGATGAATGGTGTTAAATTGGTTAAAGTGAGCAGACTAATATATACAAGAAAAAAATGTTTTATTTATTTTTTAGGTTTTATTAAATGAAAATGAAGCACATGTTGAATTTGATCATGATAAAAACAACGGAACAAGCTATTATTGATGTAATTGGTCATTTAGGATTTCAAGCTCAAGTGAAATGAAATCGTGATTTTTATTAAAGAGACTTTTAAAAACTTTATTGTATTAACATTTCTTTTTTTTTATATCAACAATAAATCATCATAAACAGGTCTTATCGATATAGAATTGCTTGGTCAAGTATCTACCATACATTGATGAATAAATGTAAATCTTATAAAATCATCGATATTTTCTTTGGATAATTCAATATTTCATATATGAATTTCATATATTAATGACATTATATATTTCTGATCAGTTAATCATTTTTTTGATAATCTTAATCGTGTAGATATAACGAAACTTCCTCTTTCATACTTTTCCACATCTAGATTTTTGTTATGAATTCTTATAAGGTCAATGTTAAGAAATCAAATTCATCTTCGAAATGTTCGACAATCGTATCGGATAATCTATTTACAGATAACAAAGGTAAAATGATATTACATAGCCGTACAACTGTGACGAAGTCCAACAATATCTGTCAACACAAAGAACCACATTTTTCTAAGACCGACATAAAACCTGTGTCGATTAATTTTTCATATGATAATATGGAATATGATTAAATTCATCAATCTAAATGAAATACGAACCTATACTGTTATGATATGTACTAAGAACGTGCCATAGGTATTATCCATATGTGTTCGTTCTCTTTCTTTCTTTTCTTTCGTTCTGTTAGATATTTTTTTCTTAGTGTTTTCTCTTGGCTTTTTTCTTTCTTTAGTCTCTTGTATGTGATTACCTGATATATTCCAAGTTCGTTAGGATATACCTTGGGATAATTCATTGATGTTATGTGATCTCGGATATAAATATCCGAGAGTTGTGTGTGTGTACGGCGCTCTCTTCTGTAGACTTGTTTGTTGGAATAAACCAGATATACATATCAACATGTATTATGTTTTTCGGATATAACACGTATTAATGTTTTCCAGTACTAAATTTTTTTTATTTTTTCAATGTATGAAAGATTCGGATTACTGTGTCGCTCATAAATTTGTAGGCGATACCGTATTAATAATACTCTGATTGAAAATGAAACCTTGTCTTCTTTCTTTAATAAATAATGTAGATATTATAATGGAATCTCTCAACTACTTCGATCTAGTATTCATTTGTATGTATTCTGTCTGTAAATTATAGGAAAAAATAAAATGGTTATGCTTTTCTTATTTCACTCATATACAATTTAAAGTCATGACAACTTAATCCACTAGATTTTTCACCGAATACATTTTTCTGCAGCCATATCTGTTGCTACACTTGTGCTAAGTTGGATAGACTATAGATCTTAGCACTATCATTCCTTATCTTTTCTATCGATGACCTCGATCGATAGATATCTTTTCTTTCCTTTGTTTTTATTTATCTTTTCGTTTATTCGAAGACAGTTAAATGTCCTACTTGTATATTATATATTCAAGTGCATATTGTTTGCGTATTCTCTCCCTTCTTTTACCTCTCTCTCTCTCTTTTTCTCTTGGTCGATATGTAAACCGATGTAGCTATGTTTTAGGAGAATTTTTTTTCAAATATAACACTATTCCACAAAACGATTTAGTCATTTTGCTCAGAGAACCCGAGAAATAAAAAGGAAAGATTGACAACTTGAGGTGTATCAATTTATTTTCTTTCAGAAACTCGAAAGAATAGATAGAACAAATATTTAAATAAGAAAGAGTTAAAAACATTAAACTTCTTATTGAAACATCTGCAAATATGAATCTATGACTGTGATAACTTCTTTCATATATTCGAAAAAAACGTTCATATAAGAAAAGAAGAAATAAGTACAAAACATCGAACAAGACTGTTAAAATGTCCAAATAAAAATGAAGCATAATTTGAAGTAGTTGTTAATGTTGTGAATACTGTTATCGATATCGCTATAGTAGCTGTTGTTATCGGTTGAGGTGTAGTTGTTGTTCCATACAACAATCGACACACTCATTGGCAAAATATATTCACCAGCTAATTATTGAAAAGTTTCAATAATAGTGGTATTGCATTCACATTTTGAAATATTACAGTGGAATGAATCATAATTATTCAAACCATAACTCTGATAATGTGTGTAAATCTGAATCGAAGTAACCTCTGGTAGATCTGCTGGACGAGCATATCTACTGAGAACTTTCTCTGGTCTGCCATATATCACATTGTGATGTATATATTCAAGATAACAGAGTGAAACATTTTCAGGACATAAACCTTTGTTTGAATATTCGATAGGATCAGTATTGTTTGGATTATAGAGACGAGCAGCGAGTGTTTGTCGCAACGGTTCCATTTGCATGGCAGCTAGTGTTGGAGATAATATTTCAAACGCAAACTCGAGATCAGAGTAATCAAATATGGAACATATATAAGTAATATTAGCTCTTATTGAAGTATTATCTAGAGAGAATTGTGTTATAATTACAAGTTTATTGTAAGGCATAACTGGTTGTTTTTGAACATCAAATGATCCATTGACAAGACGGTAGTAAAATCGATTATTAGCAAACTGCATAATTTTCATATTGATTATTATTATTAGTTTATTCATTTGATGATGGACATATATCTGGAGGAATAGACGAGTTCAATTGTAATCCTTAAAAAGTATACAATTGTTTAAAAAAAAAATATCGAATTGATTCCGTGAATGAAGCTACAAGTAATATTGAGAAGATCAAAACATTATTTCCTACAGGCATTCACGTGAGATGAGACGGAAAGAGTGTTCCATGGGATAGATGGTCACGGCTTGTCCCATTGGATGGGATATGCTTCAAAAACTTACTACTGTCTCACATGAAATGACACCGTCTTCAAAAACTTCTGTCTCATGGGATGAAATACCTGTCAAGAAATTTTGCGTTCCATCCGATAGGATATCACAATTGTCAAATACTTTTTTGAAAAATACCACTTATTAGTACGTTTATCGATTAGAAAAAATGTGTTATTTCTCATTTGTCGGTTGCACTCGAATAATCAAAGACAACAAACATCTATATCAAAACATAGATTGTTTAAAAAAAAAAGCTTTATATAAAAGAAATTTGCTTCATTGGATAATGGGATGCAACAATCATATCTCACGTGAACCCCTTTTCCCGACATTTTTTATTACTCTCTGAATATAGTACATGACAGAACCATGAAAGTCTTATCAAATCAAGGATTTCTACTTTTACATTTGTACTTTTGTCGAAAAATATTTTCAACAGGAACGGAAGAATATTGTACCATGATACTTTATGTTTTATATTAAAAAAATAATCAAAACTAATGGCGGATTTTTTTAAAAATGCCATCCACCATTTTTTCAATAACTTTCGATGGTTTCTAGCTATCGAAGTCGGGTTTTCGCCATTAGATAGAGCAATGCGGGAAGCATCTATCTATGTAATATTCATTCAGTTTCAAGAAGTTTTGTAAGGATATTTGCAAGTGAACATTTTTTCTGTTGCACATTTCTACAGGTTTTCGTAGCAATCTGTGTTCACATTACACCAAAAT